TCCCCCTGCCTAACCCCCTTCCTAGCTCGAAAATAACCACACAAACCACCATTTATGTTAATACTATAGTGTGCAGTTTGAATGCAACACTTGATCCACTTCAAGAACTGTTTAGGAAAGCCCATAGCACTCATCATAAGGAAAAGATAGTTCCAATTTACAGAATCAAACGCTTTCATTATGTCAATTTTGATAGCACATCGAGAGGAAAGTCCCTGTCTATGATATCCACTGACAAGCTCCTGTGCTAGCAAGATGTTGTCCATTATGCTTCTTCCTTTAATGAAAGCTGATTGGGAGGGGCTAATAATAGTTGGTAAAACTTCCTTAAGCCTATTGGAAAGAATTTTAGCCACAATCTTGTATAAAAGGTTCACACAAGATATAGGTATATAATTCTTAAGGGTATCAGCAGTTGGAATCTTAGGAATTAGAGAAATAGCCGTGGAATTCACACCACTAGGAAGCTTACCTTGTTGGAAGAAGTCAAGAATCCCCCTGGTGACATCCTCACCAATAATATGTCACGTTCTTTTATAAAACCCAGCAGAAAATCCATTTGGCCCAGGGGCCTTCTGAGGATTCATTCCAAAAACAACTCGCCTGATCTCATCAGTAGTGACTGGTTGTACAAGAAGGTCCTTCCCCTCATTTGTTATTGTGTGTCTTACCAAATCTGCTACATCATCTCTACTAGGCTTGATCTCAGGATTAGCCTCACCCAAAAGCTTCTTATAGTAGCCAATAACCTCCTCTATTATCTGATCAGATTGAACAAGCTCTTCCCCTGTTGTAGATACCAGTTTGCGAATTGCTCTCTTTGAAGTTCTGATTTTTACTGCCTGATGAAAGAAACCCGAGCTTTTATCACCAAGCTGCAGCCAAGAAACCCTCGACTTCTGCCAACAGAAACTCTCATAAGCCACCTGAAGCTTAGTACAATCAGCTTGCAACTTATTGACTTCTGCAAAATGAGCCGAGGTAGGATCTGAGAGGGCTGACAGTTGTGCTTGCCTTAGCAACTCTTCTGATGCTTTAACCTGACCTTGCAAATCACCATAGATCTCCTTATTGAACTGCTTCAGTGCCTTCTTAACTTCTTGCAACTTCCCTTGAACAACCTGCAGTGGGGATCCCGTAAGCTCCTTCCTCCAAGCTTTCTCAACTGTTTCCAGGAAAAGAGGATGTTCAGCCCAAAATTCAAAATACTTGAATGGTTTGGGGAGTGTTTTAATTGGCGCAGCTGTGCAGACTTGAATACCACAATGATCCGAGAAAGCTGAAGGGAAAGCCTCCATGGCATAGTCAGGAAATTGCTCTATCCATTCTAAATTCACCAATGCTCTATCTAATCGACGGGCAATAGGATTATTTTGTTGTCTGTTTGTCCATGTGAACCGAGGACCCGTTGTTCTGTAATCCAGGAGCTCCATATCACCTATCCAATCATTGAAGGCTGCCATACTAGAAGTGACAGACTGTTGATTACTTGTCTCACTTGGTACCCTAACTGTGTTGAAATCCCCCCCCCCCCCCACCCCCACCCCACTATTGTGCATATTTTCAAAGTAAGTCCATTTTTTATGGGCTCTTCCCTTTGTTGGTGAATAAACTTCAGCACTCATTAAAAAAGCACGCCATTTGTATTGGTATTTGTCAAACATGTTAGTCAGACCAATTACTACACAAATACAATCTACTACAATACATGTTTGTTATGTGATTTTGACGAAATATCAAGTTTGGATAGATTATAAGTAGTCGCATTGTTCATGTGGTATTTGCACTCATTTTTTTCTTTTATCAATTTATCCCTCTTAACCCCGTTTGTCTATCACTTGGTTGGCGTGCGTGCATGCTTGGTCAACATGCATATGTTATGGTATTTATATGTAAAGAGTTTTATTGTCGTTTTGATACATGGAACAAATTTTGTTTAGTGAACACACCAAACAAATGGAAAATATTAGACGAATCAACAATAATACGGGAACAAACGTTCTATTAAACGAATTTTATACGTACTTCTGCATTATAGAGGTAAACATATTTCTTTTAACTATGTTGTCAATACATATTGAGATTTTGTTAATGTTACGCATAATTAAAGTAGAAAGTGACAAAAAGTGGGACCAAAAGGAGTGGATAATTTGGGATTGACAGAAAATGAATCATAGCAACATCACCAGGTCAGCTTTCCCTCACCACTTTTAGCCACTACCGGACTGCTTCTCGAAGCGTCGTTTGGAAGTAGGGATGACAATGGGGCGGGTTTGGCGCGGGTTGTCTAAATCATCCTCATCCCCATCTTCAAATACCCAAACCCATACCCGCTCTATACCAATGCGGGGGAATGTTTTACAAACCCATCCCCTTACCCGTGGGTTTTGGGTACCCATGGGTAGTACCCGTACCCATACATCCAACATTATTATACCTAAAATTTACCAGAAAAGTTTTAATTATTACTCTAAACGAACCTATTATATCATGAAGTCAACAAAACACGATCATTTTCTTAATACGGTTCAAAGTATATGATCCTAAAACAGCCATTAATACATAATATAGAGTATAATATTTTTCAGATTATTATCTTCTAACTCTTATACATCTACTAAGTAATAATTAACTAACATAATCTTGTAGACAAGGGGAAAAGAAAAAGAGTGAAGGGAGAATTGAGGGAAATGAATTAGATTTTGATTAAAATGGTCACTCAATTGCATTTCTACTATTTATTTCCTTGAGTTATCCTTATCACCATTGATAGATTACAATTTAATGCACATATTTTTTTATATGTGAAGAAATTCTCTTGGTGGGGCGGGTATAGGTATGGGTATGGGGCGGGGGAGGTCAAAACCATACCCGCCTCATACCCATCAAACTTTTTGCGGGTTTTACCCAAACCCGCCCCATATCGGGTCAAAACGGGGATTCCCCGCATTGACTGGGTCGGGGGCGGTCGGATACCCACGACCATGGGTTTTATTGTCATCCCTATTTGGAAGGAGGAAGAGAGAGAATAGAGGTCGTCGTCTATAGGGGAAAAAAAGAGGGACGAAAGGGACATGACAAGATATACAATCTTAGGCAAGAGGTAAGGGAATGCTTTTTTTTTTATTATTTCTTAATCCTGAAATGGAGTCTTAACCCCGTAACCCGAGTTTATTTACAAAACATACCATAGGACAATTATTGATTTGGTCCTCCAATTTTGTTTAAGTAACTCAAAATATACATCCTTTTTTAGAAATGGGACATGTCAATCCCGGATTGAACCACCAACCTGCCACCCAATCCTCTAGCCAGGATGACAGTCCAATATGGGTTAACAACAAGGTTGTCAACCTGCGGGTCGATCCACGGGTCAACCTGGATTGACCCGGACCCGCCCAAAAAATGGGCTATTGCAACCTTTTTGACAGTCAGCCCGGACCTGGACAAACCCGGGAAAACCCAGTCAAACCCGGCTAACCCGGGTGGTTAGCCCGTCCAGAGCGGGTCACTGGGTTGCTTCTCCTTAGGCTGCGTTTAACACTGGCGCGACGACTTTTTGGTAGGGAGAAGGCAGAGGGCAGGGTCTGAAATCGAAAACCCTACCGCTGGTCCGCTACACCCTTCCATCTTCATCGTCTCGACCTCTCCTCTCCATTCCCGCGGCGCAGCCCTGTCTCCCACCCCACAGACGTCGCTCGATCGCCATCGCCAGGCTAAGTTCCCCTTCGTCGGCGGCAACTAGCTCCCGCTCCGCTCCCACAGCTGCTCGAGTTCTGTCCTCCGACCAATCTGAGTTTGAGCGCCGCCATCTGCCTCCGACCATTCGAAACCTCGAGCTTGGCCGCCATCAACTTTCCTCTGCCTCAGGTCGGGTCGGGTCTCGTCTCCATCTCCAGCTCGAGTTCGACCTCCTCCCTCTGTTTGATATTCGAACTCAGATTGGTAAGGGTTTGGTTGATTTTATTAATTTAGGAATCTTTGGTTAATTTTGGCAGGTGGTAACGCGAATTAGATTGCCTGTGTGGAGAAGTTGAATTATTATTTGTTAGTAAGGGATTGTTGATGTTATAGATGTTAGGAAGAAGTTGAATCGTTAATAATCATTTGGAATTTTGGATTGCTTATGTTTAAGAAGAATTTCAAATTGCTTATGTTTGAGATTGAGGAATGACATTTCCTATATTTGACTCAGGATAAGTATAATATAATAACAATTTTCATATTTCCGGGCTAAAACGGGTGACCCATTGACCCATGACCCACAAGCTCTACCAGGTCCGGGTTGACCCGTGGGTTGACAACCTTGGTTAACAACCTTGAAAAAAAAAAGACAGTAATCTGTTATTTGAAAAATAAGAGTCTCTCTCATGGTATTTGTGAAATTTTCTATCCGGTTAACCGAACAAGCTGTTACCGGTTACCAATTGTTTACCCATACTCGTTTGCCCATTTTTCGAGCGTCGCCTTAGGTTTCGGACTTGACCGATAAAGAGAGAAACAAAGTCACTCAATTGGTAGAGAGAAGAACAAGGAGTCTCGAATATCCCCTGCAAGTCACCGCCTTCGCTGCAGGCATCCTCTCCGTAGAACATATCAGAGAATCCATCATCGGTGTCCAACGATAGCTTCCAGAGGTCGGAGGCGGATCCATCGCCCTTCCCAATGTCATCGTTGTCATTGTAGTCGCCGATAGAAATAAGAGAAGAAGATTGTACTTTTTAGTAGAAATCGTTGAGACGTCAAATTCGTACGAGAAGAGGATTGGTGTTCCTGGTATTCCGAATAACGGGATAACCTGCAGTACCCTGATAATATTCGGTACCGCCAGCCCCAATCCCACTTCCAACTACCAGTACTACCATTTAACGGTGCAATCGATAACCGCTGATTACCGGTTCAATTACCAGTTTCACTACTAACCAGAATACCGATTACCAGGTAGATAGAGAATAGAGATGATGACAGGAAAAAAAAAATAGTATTAAAATAAAGAAGTAGCGGTGTTCCTTTCTTTATTGCAAATAATTTTTCATCCACTTTTTCCTCTTTTTTTTTCCTTTTTGCCAAGAATGAATAATAATGTTACACAACACATAGAGAACCCTTCTTTTACCCCCACACAAATCAAGCTATATCCTGTGAATTTTTATGGAATTTACAACATGTACAACTAGAATTAGAAGAAGCAAATCGACAGAGATTCTTGCCAAATGCAATGACCCTCTTCTCTTTCCCCTGGAATTCACATAAGTCAGTAGCCATTGATTGCCACACACTGGTTTGCAAAGCGATTTTTCGCTTGTGGCCTTCCCAATTAGTACACACCCCCTCCCTCCACGTCCCTCCTCCGGTGGCCGACACTTCTCACAAATAGGCAGAATGCGACTTTCATCAGCCAGCTATGGCACAACCGGAGGATGCTGACATTAACCTGTACGCAATAAGCAACACAACAGGGTTCGATCAGGTTATAGTAACTTCATGTTAGCCCAGATGAATGTTCTATACAAGTTCTTTCTCTAATTGGTGTATCAAATGAAGAATGTCATAGGGACATTCATACGGTTACTCAGCTTGGTAATGACCTAACCAAGTTTGAATGAGTTCTTTTACGGGCAGAAGAAAATGGCTCAACCAATCCGACAAAATTAACAGAAACCAAAATAGCCATAACCACTTCAACCAAGTTAGTTGAGACCTTCGTGATATCTGATATATCTAATAGAGATTACCAAAACATAGCAACTAACTAAATAAGAATAACCAATCGTACTTGTTGAAAAGATTATCATATCTGATTGACCACCCATGCATGTAATGATCATAAGCAGAATATCTTGGTCATGCTTACTCATGCAATATGCATTCTAACTGATTATCGTTGAGCATTCAATATTGAAAATTGCTTACCCTCCTCTGAGAAAGCAAAGACACCTCCGAGCATGTCATCATCATCGTCATCATCAGGCTTCTCCAATCCTTGAGGACTGGCATTGTTATCCGATGGATTGACGACTTTGCCCTTGTTGGATTCACAGCATTCAGAGAGGGCAGCAACTTTACAGTAGCCCTCCTGGAAAAGCTGTTCGAAATCTGGCGACTCATTCACCATCATTCCCTCGTCTATAATATTTGCACTCACATCAGAACGATTGGAGCTTGCATTTGAAGATGCACTGGTCAGAACACTATTTGTTGACCTGCCTTCATTTCCCATATTTCTTCCGGGAGAAGGCGAGCCATGGGTTAAGGATACTACATCGCTATGCACAGAGTTATTATTATCTTCTTCAGCAGGAGAGATACTCATTGGTGTTGGCTTAAAAGAAAGCAAGCCACTGTTATTGTCACTTGGGTTTTGATAAGCTAAGCCCGAAATCCCTCCTCTCCCGCCAAATTTTCCGGGATTATGTTGAGCAGATATATACAAGTTTGTTGATGACCCTGTCAGAAAACCAACAATGTCTGGAGTGAGCTGCAACGAAAAGGTTAATAAGCCATGCACAGTCCATATTTGACAAAAATGAATTACCGCCATTTGAGTTTGGGGCAGAGCTGGATGTAAACATCTTAGGCTGGAAGGCTGCAACAGATCCAGTAGACAGAGTAGATCTCTCCCTTCGAAGTTCCCTGCAGAGGGTGATGGAAAGGAATGGTTCCCAAAATAATTTAAGTAAGAGTTGTGTGGAAGAAAGAAACTCTGCTGCTCAGGATACATGTTTAAAGAGACCATACAGGATCATTTACGCCCTCTCGGGGACTTGCTTAAGAATAAGAAAGAGGTAAATACCATGAAATAAGGTTTGACCCTATTTATGGGTTATGGGGATTCCATAAATACTCCATTCCAAAAAAAAGAGCAAGTTCGAAACAATTGGGATTTTGTTTGAGATTGGATGCAGTTACTAATTCATGATCTGGCATGTACATAATGAAAACTTCATTCTCGATTCTACGAGAATTTTTATGAAAGCCTTTCATTTGCTTCTCTTCGATGGAAGTTATCACTTGGAAAGCTGCTGCTAGCAAGAAAAGCTTAATCAGACACCAACTTCGGGGAGAAACGAAAAAAGTGGAAAAGGTACTCTACATTCCATCAATCTCAGAGCATTGAACAAGAAAAGAAAAAGATTAATCAAACATTCCATCACTCTCAGAGCATGGAAACACTAAGCTTAATCAAATACTAACTCAGGGAGAAGAGAAAGAGTGGAAAAGATTCTCTACATTCCATCAATCTCAGGGCACTGAACCAGAATTCAAAATACTGATTCCATTGCCATTTGCGAAATTCACAGATATAAAAGATGCAACTTCACAAATTAAGCAGAAGTTCATGAAATCAGAGGCAAATTAGCTGTTCAGATAAAAGATTACACCAATTTAGAGTAGGGAGAAGTTGGCAAACGAAACAACTAGAACAAGTAGAAGTGTGTTTTGGTAAATGTTAGATATGGGACTGTGTATAACATTTTGAAGTTGGTTCTTGATCAACTGGATATATCAATTGGTGCCTACTAGTTGATCACATATAAGCAAGTTAAGAATGAGGAGAAAAAAATGCAAGATAAGAGAAGATGGGTACACACAATGAACAGTATCTAGGATGGTGTGTTGCAGAATGCAGTTGACACACAATGAACAATTATTTTCGGGGAAAAAAAAGAAGAAGCAGATTTACCTGTCACTCCAATCAGCAATTCTATGAAAATGGTCAAAAACAGGTAACAAATCCTTCCGCCTGATTTCAACTTCCTGAACTTGAACCTTCTCTACAGCAATCTCTCCACCGGAGTGATCTTCAGCAACATTCTGCTCGTCGCCTTCAATGCCACTCATTGCATAGAAATACACCTATTTCAATGGTGAAGGAGTGTTCAAAAACCAGAACATCAAGACGCAGATTTTCCTCAACTATATCATAATCAAAATACCTTGGATTTCTGCCAGAGCGGTGTTCTCCAGGGACTCATCTGGACTTCAGCATTTGCAAGATACAAGTGAGACTGTTCATATGATTTCATCATATCCATATCAGAAGTGCGAACTTTTCCAGTCCCATTATCTTCACAGTCAGAAGTATCCATTGTCATATCTGAATAGTCGTGTCTGGTGTGAGTAAGCCCACTGATATGCTCCTCTCTTTCTGGCCAATCTGCTCTTCTACAAACATCCCACCACTGAACCGATTCAGTTTTCACGTGTAGTTCCTCATCTGGAGCCTGCAGAGAAGAACCCGAACCAATTCTTGGAGTAGCTTCACTAGGTTCTCCACCAAGTGAAGTCACCAACTTGTACTGAACCACATGTCCACATGGAGTATAAGCTAACAGGTGCTCCATGGCATCAACTTTTTTCAAATGAGAAGGCTGGGAATCTTGCGGCACGCAATTGTGGAAGACAGCAGCAACAGCACCAGATGGCATCGATGCTTTTCCTGCAGCAGATGATGCCGCATTGCTAACTGTGTTAAGCCAGCCAGAATGGTTATTCTTTATTCGGGCCACCACAGAGAGAGTAACAGACGATGGCGGGGATGCAGACATGGATTGCTGGTTCACCAGGAATGATGGGGTGGACCACCATGGTAGAGAAAAAACCGGTAATAGGATTGGCCCATCTACTTCGGAGTTTTTTATTTGGAGAACAGTCTCGCCACCAAAAGGTGAAAGTGCAAATATGTGGCAGGTGCCCCTAGATGAAATTATGGCAACCCACTGACTATAACTGCTAAAGCAAATATCCTGGATCACCTGGGAATACCACAAATAAGCACACCATGAGATAACTAACCGCACTGTTCCTTGAGAATCAAGCTACCTCTCATTGACAAATCACAAGAAGAAAAGTTTATGTACCGCAGAAGTTATGCCCCTATGAAGCTTGTAAAGGTGCACATGAGAAGAACTCCAATTGTAATTCTTTGCACCAGAACCACCGTGAACAGAGGACGGCATGATCCGAAATATATTAATGTTGTTCCCATGAATTGATGCAGTAACCAAAAGCGTCCCACTCGGATCAAAGCATAGAGCAGATATGGGACTTGTATGAGCTCTAAATTGCGAAATCACAGCTCTGGAGTTGAAATCTTTCACAACAACCTGCAAAAATTGAAGTGAGATTTGAGTAAGCCTTGACTTATGCTTGATTAATAAAAGTAACTAGATATGCATAAAACTGTACCTTGGAAATCCAGGAAAATCCCCCTACTACTGCTTAGTAAGTCTAGAAACTACATAACCTCTAAGCATCTTCTGGAAAAGTTCAGATTAAATACATGGGGGAAAGAAAGAAACAGCAAAACAAAAGCTCATAAACATGCAGTGAATCATCTTCTCTTTTCTTTTTTTATTCTGGAATTGGAAAACAGATATATCAAAAGCCTGTCTGAGCTTATGAGAACTGACCATTCCAGCAGTATCAGCATCTGCAGAATGAGCTGCAACTCGTCCAACTTTCCAACTAGAATTTGGAGAGACAGGTGAACCAGAACCATCAGCGATAAAATCTTGACAGTATCGAGACAAAGTCTTGTAGCCCATATCACCCAAACTCATCAATCCGGTAGCTAACTGTTTGCTCGATTCCATAGCATAACGAGCAACTAAATTGCCACTGCCTGGTGAAGTTGATGGACTTACACCCATAGGAGGTGTAGGACTTTGTGGACTTAGGCGACCAGTATTTGATACCAATGGATTGTCAGAAGCATAAGCTAACCACCTCGGACCAACTGCCATTGGCCCATAACCAGTGTTTGCCCCAATCCCTCCTTGGACCGCCAGTTGAGGGACAGGATATGTGAGCACACTAAACTTGTTCTCTAGAGTGAGAGCATCAAAGCAGTATATCTGCAGTAGAATGTTAAAACAAATTACAAGCTTTGAAAAAATACTAAGGAAGTGCACCTTCGAGATAACCATAAAGAATTGAGTGTAAGCTCTTCATACCTGTGTAGCGAGGCCCACCGCCACTATCTGAGGGCTGCATCTAACCATAAAAACTGGGGAACGGAACCTTAGAACATGAACATAGTTGTGCGATTTCAGAGAATAAAAACGAACAATAGTGGGAGAGAGGGCAAAGCCTCCTGCTTGATTCTCATTGAAGCCATCTCTGATCAATCCATCTCTCCCATTGATAACAACTGATGGGCTTTTAGTTTCATCACAAGCAACTACTAGGAGCAAAGGATGTGCAGCTCTGTATCCTTCACAACCCTCAGCCTTAGCAGGGAGTGGCTGCATACGTAAAAATGTGACCAGATCATCCCGTCTTGAAACGAGCTCAGTCACACCAGAGGCATCTTCAACATCAATCACTTGGAAACCATTGGAGTACCCAAGTAAGAGCACATTTCGGAAGGAGGATGGACTAAGCTGTAGCTTGTCAAATGAGGCCCACAGCACCTGTTCACACCAATGGAGGAGGGTACAACTTATGTCAACCATTAATCAACGTGGTCATCTAGTAATGAGCAGCAACATCAAACCAGAAATGAAAATGTTCACAATTTAACCATTACGGCACTCATGACTCGAAAGCATCAACCTAGTTCCCCATTAGAAAGCAAGTTTTTTATATCCCAGTCTTCTGCAAACCCTCTCTTTACCATACATTACTAAGCACACTGCTACAAAGAATCAATCAAAAGAGTTATACATTAACAAAAAAAGTTCACAACTCTCAGTCCGAAAACAAAAAACTCGCCAAGAAGGGACATCAAGTTTTGACCCAGCAATATCCACAACCCAGCTGGATGCCTTCTAAATCACAAATACGAACAAAGCGAATAACTGCTATGAAATCCCGCCAGCTAAATTATCTATCACTTTTTCTTCAAACCCTCCCCAATGTCAAGATATCATCATCTTGATCAAATGAAGTCGTCAAGTGGCAACCCTTTTGCGGGGTGGATAAAAGTTGCATAAAAAGCAAGATCAGCAGAAATTGAAACCGGTACCCAAAGACAGAGAAAAGGAAAAAATAAGACCCTTCCACTACCCAGAAACCATCTTAGTCCTCCTACGCCATAAATAACAGTCCCATTCAGTCCACAAACTCTACATTCACAAAGCGCAAGAGACAAAGAAACCCCAAAACAAGTAAAATGAATCCCCCAATTCCCAAATCTTCCCCACTCCCCAACTTTCCCCGCATCCAAACAAATCAGTTCGATTCGCCGCCCAATCCACGACAACCCAAATAATCTCAGAGTTTCCATTTCTAACCCAGCCAGACTTTGAACAAACAAAGAAGACAACAGAAAAAGAGAGGGAACAAACCTGGTCTCTATCCCCGCCTTGATTATCGCCGGAGATCGATGCGGCAACCGAGGCACTAGCTGAGCGGACGCCGGAGGAAGCAGTCTTGATACAGGACGAAATGAATTTCAGAGAGTTGGGAAGGAAGCCATGAGTGGTGTTTGTAGTGTTCTTGCTGCTGTTGCTTCCTTTGCTGTTGTTCTTCATAATAATCGGGGGAGAAGGAAGTGTTAAATTCCACCGGTCACCGGGAAGAAGGAAAGTCCGTCGCCCGCCAGCAGCAGCAGCAAGCAGCGATCGATCGGCAATAGCATATAGATAGATTGGGAAAGAGAAGTTTTCCCGGCGAGAAATTGGGGAGGGAAGGGGGATTTTGGGCGGTCGGCGAGAAATTGAATTCGGCGGTGTTTGGTGGTAGTTTTGACTCTGTAGAGAGAGGAAGAAGAAGAAGAGGAAGGAGAAACGGTTCCTTGCTTTTGTATTGTGTTTGCTTGTAGCCAGCAAATTTGTTTCTTTTATTTTTTTTCATTTTTAGTTATTTATTTTTTCATTTTTTGATAGTGTAAAAATAAACCAAAGTATTTTGTTTTTGGTAAGCTTAATAGTTAAA